CAATTTTTGTGGAAAAATAGTCGTTTAAAACGTTTGTCACTAAACGAGTGTATTATGCGTACGAACGCTACGGAAGTAATTGTCTGGCGATTGGTGTTGTAGTCATAGGCTAACAGTGAGACTGATTGAGACAAACAGTCATTCAATGTATGCATTCATTGACCAAAAATGTCTGCAAATGTGTAGTGATTTTCAGTGACTAATCCGTTGAGCGTTAATCCAATGCGCGATTAGTATTGATATCAGTGTTCATGAGTAATGTGTTGTCATTTGAGTCAGTGATTGGCTTTTGGTGTGAATTAGTGTTTGTATTGTTTGTGTGATTCAAATGAACGGTTAATACAATGCAATGATTTGTAAACAAATGTCGGCTTTATTAGCGAGATTAACGTAATGCCTGATTATATGGTTGACAATAATCCTGGTAATTGTCTCATCCATTCATACGTTGGGTTTGTATTTGTTTTGTTCATTATTGTCTATGTTATCGCGATTTTGTGTGTTTTTGTCTGTTTTTTGTATTCAAATATTTGTCACTTTTTTCTGATTAATATTTATTTGACTATTATTTGCCGCTAAATATTATGTCGATTATGATTATGATCAGGGTGTTTTGGGTCTATAATATAGCTAGTAATTGTGATTTATGAGTTATTAACACATTTTGAGCTAATTGTCAATCATTTTTAAGTTGATTATGTGTTTAGGAAATAGTTTTTCAAAACACTTATCAATTGATTTGTAAACTTATTTTCCAGTCATTGGGTAAACGAGTTGTGAAAATGAGTTTTTAGCGCATAATTCATATAATTTTATTCAAATTAAATGCATAGAAATCTTAATCTTATTTATTTCTGGTATTTATTTTTGTCGCAAAAATTATTAGCTATTTATTTGTTTTTAGTTTTTAGTGTAAGTTATTACGAGATTATTGTGTGAATTAAGTAAAAGGTTTAGTTTTGTTTGTGTGTTACAAATGTTTATTTAATAATAATTTAGACATTAAATGATTGCTCCCATTGTGTCCGCAATTGTTTGAATAATTGTCGCGTTTTTTAATTATAATTATTATTTTATGAAATTACATATGAGTTAATGGACTTCATATCAAATGGACGGACAATGTATGCAATTATATATAAAACACTGTTTTGAATGTATTATTATATCCCCTGAAAAGACATTGTCTTTTCAATTGCGGGTAATATTCATTGAAAAACATGTCTTTCGCTCCCAATTGATGAGACAGTCTTCCCATACAAGTGACGTAACCTTTGCCTGTGTTTTGTAGATCACAATAGGTTTGCATATAATTTAGGATAAAATAGTTTAGACTTTTTGTTGTGTGCTTTCGTGGCTTACATTTTGAAACAAATTGTTTTTTCAACTTCTCTCTAAAGTCTATAAATAAAATATTTTTTGTTTGACGTTTTTGTGTGTTTTTTCTTTTTATTGTCGATAAGTTTTTGAAGTTTTTTCTGTTGTGTTATTTTAATTCAATTCAAGTCTAAGGAAACCTAATTTGAGTGAATTTCATGTGAGGTTTATTGTATTCAGAGACTTGTGTGATCTCTCTCTCTCCCTCCCTCTCCCTCCCTCTCTCTCTCTCTCTCTCATCTCTTGACACGAGTTACGCCACTATTATTTGGCTGAAGTGCATAAGACTTGTGTTGATATGTGAAGTGAATTACAAGAAAAAAGTTAATGTTATTGATGTCGACGACAATGAGAAGTGCATAGAAGTAGTGATGAGAATGTGATCTCAGAGCCTATTATTGGCGTAAGTGTTGTGTCAAACGGTTTGGCATACCGTAGAGTATTGTAGGGATGCATGTGTGACGTGTGTGAGCGCTGACACCCATTCATCCCATTCCTCTCAACCATCTTATTATCTAATGACCTGACCCTCAGATGACAGACCACTTGAGCACTCACTTCATGTCTTATATCTGTCTTTTCGTGAAGTCTCTGCTCTGGAGATAATATTTCGCAGGTTTTCATTGTTTCCTATCATATAAGTAATGCTTATTATTATCTCAATCGTAATCTGATATCTCAATGACTTTCAAAAGACTTTCCTTTCGTTTAATGTGTTTTTTGAACTAATTTTTATTTGTGAAATTTTTTTGTATAAACTTTTCTATTTGTAAAGTAATCTGTTTTATGAATAATAAATTCATGCTTTTATTTGTGTGAATATTAATGAAGTTTTTGATTTCAATTATTACAGTAATTTGATTGGAATTTAACAATAAATATGATATTATTTGTTACTATTGAGAAAACTTATCGTTTTGTTTATAAGAGTTGTTAGAAATGTTTTATTGCTTTTTTTCTCATTGCATTTTTAATTAATTGATTACATGTTTATGCGTTTGACTCAATAACGCAAAGCAAATGCATTGCAATCGTAAACTTCATTAATATTTATAATTTTAAATATCTTACACTAATTGCAAAGCAATCTATGTCTCAATTATAACTGCTTTTATGTTTTGCCAGTTATATGCAGAAAGTTATACCACAAGAAACCCTTGAAGTATATAAAACTTATTGTGAGAAATGTTTTTGTGAGACAAATGTTAGGAAATGAGTTCATTGATGGAGAGAGAGAGAGAGAGAGAGAGAGAGAGCTATGATTACAACTAAACATTTGTTTCATTAAGCCTTTAAATAACTCTTAACATAAACTGGCGATGAGTTTCTGTTTATTGATTTAAAAATATTTTTGTTTATAATTTAATGCCTTATTATGAACGTATGGTTTATACGCCATTAACTCTACAATATCTATGGGATTTACAGTCAACTTCTGGACTAACGATAGTTTTTGTCTTAATTTGTGTCTCCAATAGTAATTACAATCGGATTGTGACTCGCAATGCAAGAAACGCTGTCACCTCAGCACCAATTGAATGACTCCCAGAAACAGCACATTCAGCAACAGTTCAATAATGTTGGCGGCAATGATGTCAACCATCAAAACAATGACACCAATCATCACGAGATGTACGATAACGATAACGAAATGCCACCGCATTATCAACAGACCCACCACTGGTCGCAGTCGCTCTTCCATTACGACAACATAGTTATCGGTTTGTCATTAGCGCACCCGACTATCCCTACCATCCCATGGCATCCCTTCCCCTTATATCCCTTTTTCCATTCACTTTCGCGACGTTTTTATTGTGTTTTATATTTCTTTTGTTATTTCTAATGCTTTTTCTCTGATTTATGACACATTCAATTGAATTGTTTTGTTTTGTGAGGAAACTTATAGTAATAGTCGCGTACTGTTAGAGTAGTATTGATTTCGTTTGATTAGTTGCCATCCCATCCCATACTCTATGGTATAATTTATAGATAAAAATGTATTGTAGTCTATGATAATGATTATACAGCGTATTAAAAGGAAATATGCCTATTAAGAGGTATTAACTTATAGTATGATTCTTAAGCTATTGTTTTATTTGATAAGTTATTGTTGTTTTATGTCAATTATCATGTATAGTATACATTGTATAGCATATGTATTGATACACTAAACATAAAATCTTTACTTTGAATGAATTATAAAGCTTTAGATACAGTATAATGTTTGAGAAAACTAATGAGATTTTGTAACACATTTTAATAACCAATAGTTAGCGTTCAAAATGAATGGTGAAAATGATTTACTCGTGTCGTTAGCGTTAGTCGAATTGACAGAGAGATTGTTTTTGTGTTCATTACACGAGTTGTTAATTTGGTTTTCAGGAAAATGTGTTTCAATTAATTTGTGTTTGCATTTTGTTTTAGACGAGAAAAAACTAGGGAAAGAAAAACTCAATTCATAACTAATAGACCGCTTCTAATGACACGAGAAAATCGGATATAAAAATCGATTAAAAGTAGAGAAATTGTGTGCATTTTCTGTGCAAAACATTTGAGGCATAAAATTGTCGCAAAAATCTCTCGCATATAGCGTAAGACATACACCGAAGCGACTCATTCGCTATGAATTGAATTTATCGCTCAAATAAAGGCTTTTCTTTTCACTCAAACTCATGTATTTTAAGCGCATTTCCAGTGAAATTGTCTTTTCATTTACGAAAATATCAAAATCTAATCGTAACGCATGACTGTGTGTTTGTCGCACCATTAGGGGACTGGTCGATAGGCGGGGGCTCTGACTACGGCCAACTGCCGTACTTCATCGACTCGGGCGACATAATCATTGAAGTGGACGGCCAACGGGTGGCCGGACTGACGCGCGCCGACGTCTGCGAGATTGTCAACTCGAAGGACACCCATGCGATCAAATCGGTTCAGGCGGCCAACGCCTACGGACTGCCCATCGAGTTGCGCGAGTACTTGGCCCGTAGGTTCGCCAGGGGTAGTATAGACCACGACCTCCAGGCCACCATTCGCGACAATGTCTACATGCGTACCATTCCCTGCACGACGAGGCCTCCCCGGCCTAACGAGACCGATGGCGTCGACTATAAGTTTGTGACGAAAGAGCAGTTTATAGAGATGGACCGCTCGGGCCTACTGCTCGAGTCCGGTGTATA